GTAAGTAAACTTACTTAAATGTTTAAAGTTGCTTAAAACATTGCTTTTGACGATCTCCCCTGAACGAAGCAAAATTATATTTTGACGGTTTAAAAAATTAGGAGATGAAATGATAATTGCAATAAAAGTTATATCTTATAATGAAAATAGTATCTTTTATGAATTTTAAAGCCAAAAAAATGTACATTTCCGATTCACAATAAAATAGAAGTGTCTATTAGTATCTGAATGTAAATTACGTTTGTGATACATTTAATCCGATTGAAATACATATCCTCTGTCCACGCTTCGCTAACGACAATCTGACACTGTCCTGCTTCGCCTTATGTTCTAATGTATGCATAACAGGAAACACTTACCATCAGGCCTGTCTATTCATCCGGTCTCGCTCCCTTTGCAGTTCATGCGATTCCCTCAGTTTTCGTTTGTTACTTTGATTTGCGTCCCTCTAAATTGATTTATGAGAATTTAAAATTGGTTAACTACGTACTCTCGTCTACACTGAAGACCTTTCCCGGTTACTCTAATTTTGTCGCGTTGATACACATCTGCAAAATTTTAGAGGCAAAACTTCGTTCGTTGAGGTAATTCTTTATTATTCTCTCTTTTATCGGAACAAAGAGAAGAACTGAGCGTTGTCAGAATGCAAGTGAATCGTAGACACAGGATCCGTATTATAATTTCAAGTGTGATGAAATTTATAGCAAATTCAGTTTTCATAAGTTTCTTTTTTAAGATAAAATGTTTGAAGATGATGATTGTAAATTGTAGAACTTGAAATCTTACATCTTAGAAAAAAAACATCCAAATTTTGGATATAAATTTTGTTGTAAATCCAAACAGTGAACATATAGGCTAAGTTTTGATCTATCAGTCCCGTTGATTTAAGATATTCCCGGAAAATAAGAACAGACGATGCATGACATTGGAATGAAATAGCTAATACTGTCCCTTTTGGTTTCTTCTTCGCTATTGCATTTTTTAAGTCATTTGTAAATTAGAATTTCAAGCAGCCATAGGGCAAAGAGAAACACGATGTTGAAAATGCGTGACTACTGCTATAGCAAACAAGCATTTTGTACAATCATAAAGTATTCACATATTATGACTTCTGTGACTACAAGTTATCTCTGGATTAATGTCATTATGCTTTTCGAACCATTTCTCTTCGAGGAACATTTGAAAATGTTAAAGTCTAATTAAAGAATCCTTGTATTTCTATTTTATAATTGTAATTTGTGCAATTTTTGAAAATAAAATATTGTTCAAACTAAGAATTCAGGTGAATGTTCATATCAATGACGCTTATGTCAAAAGAGTAAAATACTGTAAATGTTCCTTATGATTAAATAACATAACACTTAATACATTTCGTTCGTCGAAAGCGCCTTTATAGATTTACCTTTATCAGGAACGCTCAAACCGAAACATTTATAAACCAGGGATAAACATACTAAAATACGCCTGGAGCTATATGACCGAAAGAAATAGCCACTTTTCCTGAAGGAGTTCGGTCCCTTAGTTTCTGAGGTTGCTACTTACAAGGAAGTTTTTTAATCAAGTGTTCCGAATATTTAGCGTACGAAATCACGAGTTTTTTTAACAGATTTGGGATATCTGTTTTACAGATAATGACTGATATTTTTCAATTGTTGTTACAACGACCCCGTCTTCTTTTCCTCGAATGTAACATCCCCGAATTAGACGTATCCCAAATTTTGTACTTACACGAGCAAGACGACGGTTGCAATATGTGGAGCAGGTTCTGCTTGCCTTTTCGGAGCACCTTAGACTACCACCGTTTTTGGAGGGGTTCGTTTTGCTCAGTCTTTAGTTTTCTTTGCTGTTTTTTGTAGACTGTTGTTTGTTAATTGGTCTTTTTTTGTGTTTTGTCATGGCGATGCCAGTTTGTTTTCGACTGGTCAGTTTGAATATGCCTTTTGTATCTTCTACATCTCTTTTAATATCGGAGAATGTCATAAAAGTATATTATAAATTATGTCAGAGCTGAAACACTGAGTACTGAGCTGATTATACCCTCGGGGACTAGCAGCTCATCAGAAGCAGTATCAATTCAGTGCTAGTAATTGAAATTAACTCTAGATAAATCAAACACGATTTCTTATCCTACTTTCAGAGTATAGCTTTAGTATTTAGGGCCAAATAGGCATTGATCGAATCTTCTCCCTTTGAAGGAAACATCAATTCCTTAAATCATCGTAATCAGAATAAGTCACAGTTCATGCAACTGGTAAATGAATGTGTTTTTCAATTTATTGTGATTAAAACGGTTTGATATATCACATTATTTTGCTGTAGTTTCTCTAAAATGACCAATCTAACAACCCATGCACAATCTTTACTATTATCATTTTAATGTACCATACAACTTTGTTTATAAAAACTCATTAAAGATACTTTTATTTTAAACAAGAGTCCATATGTAGCAATATAAGTCGTCTTTGACTGCGCATCTGGAGGTGGCACTATATAAAATAAACTATTGCTGACAAACATTCAGTAAATCAAAGTTTATTTCCAGCTAAAGCCAACATCCATTTTGGAATGTATACAAAATTTGGAACAAAGTTAGCAATCCATTTTGTCTTTGGGTTCATTTTGAGGAGTTCATTCACTTGTCTCATATTAAATGGATCTTTTCCTAAAAAAATTATGAAATATAAAATAAAATTGAAGGTTGATGTTTATGGTGTTTATAGCTACGGTGTATATATAAATAAACATTAAAAATGCATTCATCATTTTAAGAATGTAACAGTGAGAAATAAATCGTGATGAATATTTTGCTAAGTTCAAATTATAGAACAAATCTCCAAAATCTAGATCGTGATGCAAAAAAAACGTGTTATGAGTTCAAATGCATTCTATTTTTCAGTTATGCCTAGACAACTGCTTAGATTGTATGGACATACAGACTGGATAAATACACAGCCAATAGCGGTCGACACGGGGATGTCTAATACGATGGCCATTGTTGAGAGACTGCCCACTCTCTGTACGTTGTAGATCCCTAATCTTACATTAATATGCCAATTGACGTTGTGTTTACTTAAAAAATCAAAAATGTTTCATATACTTTGTCATATATATCGCTAAGTCAGCCTAAGCTGATATAACCAAAGACAAAAGTTTTATTGGCGCCATCAGGAATTGGTCGATCGTTATTTGGTGGGGATGTCATTAACGATCATTTTATAGCTTCCAAACGCTTCATACTCCTTTACTGATGCTGACCCTAACTGAAGTCGGTGTATTGACCTCCAGATTTTGAATGATGATTTCCCTTTTAACACATTTCATTTGTGTTATTTATTATATAGTTTGCATTTCAAAAGAAATGTTTTGATATTCTTTTGAGTACACAACTTTCAAAGTTTTAAACGTTAATATTCTACGACTATTAGGGGAATCTTTCCTTTGTCTAATCTGCTTTTTATTTTCACTCTACATTTGAATTGGGGAATGAAATCTCACTGTATCTATTTAGCTTCATTTTCAATCTTACAATGTTTTTCAAATTTGTCTAATGTTTGCTACTTAAAAACTGCATTGTCTTAAGATATAATATTAAATATGTACCATCGATATCCTTGAATCCATACTCATAACCAAGATCTGCAGTCATTAAAATTTTACCAGACTTCTTCATAATGTTTTGATCTAAAATATCAGAATCCACAAATAAAATAACATTAATTTAACATAAGCTATAACAGATATTTATAAATAAAATCTATATGATTTAGCTTTCTTGGAAAAAAAATAAAGTTATTGTTATAAAACAGCCAGACCAAGACAAATAGGTAACTATCGATGCTACATGATACAAACCTGTTGCTAAGGCTACAATTGCCTTTCCTGCGTACTCCGATGTCTCTCCATTTTCAAATAATTTAGCAGCATCAACTTTTGGCATCTGAAAGTAAAAATTAAAATAAAAAGAATTACATCATTTCTTGATGCTTAACGGGGTAAATTACAGTTACGAAATTTGCATAAATTGAAATAATTTTGTCATGTGTCTATTATCACTCCATCATTTTTATGAATGAATTCTTAAAGTCTTTTTTTTAATTTCATTACCACTTCATCTTGTACATGCACGAGTTCACAGTCTTTTTTTCAAATCATTTATAGGTGTTAATTGCACATTTTGATCGTTGTTTCATGTAACTGCTTTATCCTTTTTAGAAAATGCCTATAAATATAAAGAAATATTTTGGTAATGTCCAGATCATTTGACATAACACGATAGCTAATGTATTGCCCATTAGTTCATACGTTACTATAAACCACATAGAAATGTACCGAAAACGATTTTAGAAAGGTGACTAAGTAACCTTCTGTACAAATTGTTAGTAGTTTTTAACAGTGCTTTTGTTGTGACCCACAACATTTCAATTAATCTTTACAGAAGTAAATATTTTTACTGATGTCGTAACTTAAATAATTATTTTTAAATGTTTCTTTACTGAAGTAAAACTGCAATTATATTATGCAGGTGAGTAAAACACAAACGTCTGTACAAATATATACTATGGTTATATGTATCACAACGAAGCGTATACACATATACATAATTCTAATAGGAAACTTTAATGAAATGTTTTAGCATGATTATATCAAGAAAACTTAAATGACAAAATTGAGCTGAGTTGATCCACTTCGATATTTTTCATCAGTCTAATTTGGATCTTTTAAATCTTTTTATCATTTTTCAAATTCTTTTGTTCACATCTTTCATGTTAGTTTCTATGCATCACAAGAGGAAATCATTTGCCAGTGCTTCATTTTAAGAGTTTGCTTTATTCATTTTTGCTTTTACTATAACCTTACAAGCTTACCATCTTTGCTTTTTCAAATAAAGTCAATTCATAAAATAAATTTAAAATAAATAAATGAATAATAAAAAATTAACAACAAAATACAATTTAATAATGATAAAAGGTGCAACAATTAAAAATTGGTATGTTTCTTACATTGCCTGATGCAGGTTTATCTGTGCCAAAACCACCTGTTTTCATTAACTCTTTTATGTTTTCTGTATTAACAGGACCAGGCCATAAGCTGACAAAAGCTACATTCATTTTTCTTAATTCTACAGCGCAATCTGCTGCCATTCTATCATTCTACAGTAAATAAAAGCATAGTTTATACATTCCAGAGTAGTCACAAAAAATCTTAGTTTCAGTGTATTATTTAATACTGGGTATGACATTCGGTGTTCTGCACAAGGCCTACATATATAATCTCTCAAAGGAGCTGTTCCGTTGCAATGGCAAATGTACTAAAGAAGTTCAACATTCCTTTTACGAAAATTTTTCATGTTTCAGACTATTTTTTGTAATAAATGTCCCAAATTTGCCGGCATTTATTTTTGTCACACATGATATTCATGACTTTTATTTCCGAAAAAAATGGAAGGATGTAAACAATTTTGCACTGTCTAATGTCTCTGATAACTTGACTCGTTTCTATGATTATCAGTGCATATACAAAAGATGAGTAATTTGGAGAAAAAGAAAAATAAGTAGTGCAATCTCTCAAATTTGAGAAGGCGGAAAATTCCAATGTCTAAAAAATCGAACAAGATATTTCTAAAATTCAACCTGAAGTGTATGGATGGCATTTTTGATTTTATTTAAATGCGTAATACTTGTAGAGCAAATAAATTCGATTCATCAAGTAAACTTTAAAAATGATTTTGATTGAAAACTGTAGGAGAATTTGAAAACTTGTACCCTCTTTCATAAATTTTGCTGAAAAACGACTAAAAGTTCCCGATTTGGAAAAATCAGAAAAAATTCCTCAACAATAATAGCAGGTGCACAACTTCAACTTATATGCAATCTTCCTGTAAAGTTTCAGGGATCTGGGTTGAAAATGTGGAGGAGTTGATTACACAAATTAGGTACCAAATTTTACCCGAATCGGCCCGCCCGTTCGCTCGCTTGACATCACCGTACTATAAGTCGGTCTTGGACTTCGTCCAACCCGGCCAAAAAAACATGTTTTTTTATGCTGAGAACCTTAGAGAAGATTGTATTTATGACATTGGTTTTCATTGCATCTGCGAAAAAATCGACATGTGGTTAGTTTCAGATACTTATGATTTTAACAGCAGCCTTGTCATGTATTTCATAAAAAATGTAAATCTTTAGTATAATGGAGACAATCAATCTTAATTTCTCGACCTTATCATATATCCTGAAGCTGGAAATAGGGACCCGTTCCAGCAGCTCATCCCTACCACTCATTACATAATAAGTAGCCCCATCCATGGCAAATAAACGACGAAATAACAAACAACAGTCAACAAATACTACACAGAAAACTAAAGATTGAGTTACACAAACCCCTCTCAATGAAAGTCTTATGGACGCCATCGTGAGTTGTTTTACCGTTATGGAATATCTGTGTCACAGATAATCATGGATATGTCCTAGTAATAGAAATCAAAATCCCCTCTTCTACTCACCGAAAGTGGTTTATCACTGGATTTCTCTTTGCCTATAGCAACACGATCGAGTCCGCCACTAGTGAAACAGGAATTGCTTACTTACCCTTCGGCAACACAAGAGTTCACCCGTATGGTTATGGTGAGGTTCGTGTTGTTCAATCCTAGTTTTCTGATTCATGGACTCGTGTTCGACTTTCGTTTGTCAATGGTTTTATGAAGTCTTAAAAAAGCTGGACAACGGTCCACGTCTCCATCCCTCCATGTGTTTACTGAGTAACAATGTCCCGGTTTAAAATAACTAAAATATTTTCAGACTTCGAGCAAAACTGTTTGTTCCAACTATCCAATCGCTGACTTATATCATATAGGGACAATATTGAGTTGTCGGGCTAATAGGGTGTCGGAACCATAGATTGTCGGTCTATCGAACATCTTGCATAATTGTTTAGAAAAGCGCATTTCAATATTCGATTTGAAACGAATCTAAAACAACATTGATATAGATATTTTAGAAATGACTTACTGCTTCTTTACCAACGCCATAAGGTACATTAAAGAGGTACTTAAGACCACCAAATGACGATACATTAACAATTAAACCAGTTTTCCTTGCGGTCATTAATTTTGCTGCATGCACAGAACACAGATAATGGTTTCTACAAAACAATCAAATTGTTAACATTTACCTTAAATAATACAAATTGTTCGTAATAAATGGGTCTTGCTTGTAATACATGGGAACACATATTTTTATTTAAATATAAACTGTTATCACAGAGATATGTCTCGCCTTTTTGTAATTTTGATAATGCAAATGTTGAAATTAAAATAGCAATACTTTAACATGTAATTTATGCAAATATTCAAAGTCAATGAACCATGACTGAAGGTACATGGTTAAACAATCTCCATGGAATGAGATGTGCTAATTCTAATACAACTGCATACCAAATACCATTGTCATTGACTTATTATAAGTCGTTCCCTTTAAACAAACCTAAACACAAACATTAACTTGTAAACTATGTAAAAGTTTCAAAGTCAATGAACCATGATCAGGGGTGGGGCTATATAATCTCCATGGAAACAATACTTGCAAATGCCAATACATTTGCATACCAAATATCATTGACTTAACATTAGCAGTTCATCTTAAACTGATCTAATCACAAACTAATACATGTAAACTAAGCAAAAGTTTCAAAGTCAATAGACCATGACTGAGGGGGCAGGACCAAATATTCTCCATGGAAATGAGATGTGCTAATGCTTATACAACTGAACACCAATTAACATTGGCCTACCACTAATGGTTCCCCTTGAACTGACCTAATCACAAACTAATACATGTTAACTAAGCAAAATTTTCATAGTCTATAGACCATAACTGAGGGGGCAGAGCCAAATAATCTCCATGGCAATGAGATATGCCAATGCTTATACAACTGTATACCAAATATCATTGACCTACCACTAGTGGTTCCCCATAAATTGACCTAATCACAAACTAATACATGTAAACTATGAAAAGTTTCAAAGTCAATAGACCTTGACTGAGGGGGCGGGGCCATATAATCTCCATGGTAATGAGATGTGCCAATGCTAATACAACTGCATACCAAATATCATTGACCTATCACTTGTGGTTCACTATGAACTAGACCTAATCACAAACTAATACATTGTTGACGCCGTCGCCGACGCCGGAAACAGCATACCTATGTCTCGCTTTTTGACTCCGTCAAGGCGAGACAAAAACCTTTTGTGGTCTTACTTTATTCAAATCATATATGAAATATAAAAAAAATATTGACAAATTATACAAACACCTGTCTTTTATCGAAGACTGTATATGTTGACCGCTAAAAAATTTATGGTTTTTGTTTGTTGTTTAGTTGATGTCTCGTGTTGACGTTTTATACTCCACATCCCCTTGAATGCATAATCATAAATGAAATTGAAGATTTATAAACAGTTGAGAGGCAATACGTTTTATAACATTCGCGACACGACTACATATTGGATTGATGTGTCTCTTTCATATCTTTCCATACTCCTCTAAATTACTGTTAAGGTATCAAATGCAGAATTATTTCATTATAAAAATAGAATTAGTTTACCCACCTTAGTCCTACAATATTAACAGTATCCCACATTGTGATAGGCTGTTCCCAGAATGGCTTGCCGATGTTATCTGAGATTGCCTACAGAAATACATTTCATTCATAAAAATATATAGTTAAATGAGTAGCAGTCTCAACTGTTCTATTTGCCCATAAACCACATTAAGTAGCAGTCTCAACTGTTCTATTTGCCCAATAAATAACAGTAAGCATCTCAAACTAAACACAGACTAAAATGATCATACAAAAGCTTTGTTGAGGGTCTGATATGGGCGCAAAATTAACATATTCGATAGACACAGATACAAAACATACAAATCATGTCATATATTGAGGCAGCGTAAACCAAACACAAATCAAATCATATATCAATTAAGCCCAGATAACAAATTGCTCCATGATGACCAAATAATCTCTTAACAAACAATTACGCACATGTCGAAACCATAACGTTAAAATCTATATATATATATATATATATATAGTAAAATTTGTTGTCTTGCAGATGTAATCAAAACCGTTTTCGAACACAAAAAGTTCATGTGAGAATAAAAAAATAAACAAAATTATGACATACTTTTACAGCTGCGTATGCATTGTTGACAAGAAGATCTAAATGACCGTTTTGTTCTTTAGAAACACGGTTAAACAATTCCTCAATGTCACTGTCTTTGGAATGATCACATTGCACTGGGATACATTTCCCTCCTCTGTTCTCAATCTAAGAATTCAAATAGAACATGTTTATCTTACGATGGTTAAATATTCTTAATATGTTTTCATTTTTGTTTATTTCTTTGTTCATTTGCTTGCCCTTCTTTGGTTGCTTTTTCCAAATTTTAATATCGCAAATAGATTAGAATTCAAACTTATTTCCATTTATATATTGCGATAAATCTGTAACTCTATGTGTTGTCGTTTTTGTTTTCATGGCGGCTGTTTGAAATATATATATGAATATTGTGAGGCTTTCTACACACATATTCTTCCTCCCATAACAGACAAGTATACTTTATCACCAGAAGTGAGGGGCTAGATGGGATTTACAGAATAAGGAATTATAGGTAAAAAGTGCAGAATAAAGGAAAAAAAGAATAAAAGAATAGAGTAAAATAAAAAAAAAAAGAATAGAGAATAATGGGGTGCTAAAATACAAAGAATAGAGAATACGGGGACAAAAATATAAAGAATAGAGAAAAATCGGCTAAAAAATTAAAGCATACAGAAATGAAGGAATCCTCTACCATTTCACACCCTCATAAGTTACAGAGAAAACAAACTTACCTCGTTAGCCGTATCGGTTAATGAACCTCCAACTGGGTCACCCTTTAAGGCTGTTAGTGTTCTTCCTATAGAAAAAAAAATAAGAATACTGATCACATCAAAAGGACTTTGGCAACCCTAGTCCGAATAGTTTCTTGTACAGGTACGACATTTCTCGATTATATCATTTTTCATATCTATATATAATCAATTTGAATGCTGGTTTTTCTACGTCGAACAAATATCTCTCCGTGAAGAGAGTGGCCCTAAAGCTTGCGTTAGTTTTACTAAAAAAATATTATTTTATTGTGCATTATCTAGAGAGGTTCAGTTTAAATTAGCATTATCTTCTACTTCCATGTCCAGATGAACGCATCAGAGCTGATAAATAAAAACTATAGAGTAATTTGGTGAAATGTGTTTAAAAATACCATTTAAAGTTAATATTTTGATCTGATAGCATATTATCGTGCGTTATTGTACTTCTCAACACTCCGGCAAGTTTGTTCTTTTATGAATGGAACATTCTTTTGCATTATTAGAGTTTTGAATTTCACATACCTAATATGTAGACTGTAGCACCAGCTTGTCCTAGCTGTAATGATATACCTTTACCGATCCCCCTTGTTGCTCCTGTCACAATACATTGTACTTACCTGTTATGTAGACAGTAGCACCAGCTTGTCCTAGCTGTAATGCTATACCTTTACCGATCCCCCTTGTTGCTCCTGTCACAATACATTGTACTTACCTGTAATGTAGACTGTTGCACCAGCTTGCCCTAGCTGTAACGCTATACCTTTACCGATTCCCCTTGTTGCTCCTGTCACAATACATTGTACTTACCTGTTATGTAGACTGTTGCACCAGCTTGTCCTAGCTGTAACGCTATACCTTTACCGACCCCCCTTGTTGCTCCTGTCACAATACATTGTACTCACATGTTATGTATACTGTTGCACCAGCTTGTCCTAGCTGTAATGCTTTACCTTTACCGATCCCCCTTGTTGCTCCTGTCACAATACATTGTACTTACCTGTTATGTATACTGTTGCACCAGCTTGTCCTAGCTGTAATGCTATACCTTTACCGATCCCCCTTGTTGCTCCTGTCACAATACATTGTACTTACCTGTTATGTATACTGTTGCACCAGCTTGTCCTAGCTGTAATGCTATACCTTTACCGATCCCCCTTGTTGCTCCTGTCACAATACATTGTACTTACCTGTTATGTAGACTGTTGCACCAGCTTGCCCTAGCTGTAATGCTATACCTTTACCGATCCCCCTTGTTGCTCCTGTCACAATACATTGTACTCACATGTTATGTATACTGTTGCACCAGCTTGTCCTAGCTGTAATGCTATACCTTTACCGATCCCCCTTGTTGCTCGTGTCTACATACATTGTACTCACCTGTTATGTAGACAGTAGCACCAGCTTGTCCTAGCTGTAACGCTATACCTTTACCGATCCCCCTTGTTGCTCCTGACACAATACATTGTACTCACCTGTTATGTATACAGTAGCACCAGCTTGTCTTAGCTGTAATGCTATACCTTTACCGATCCCCCTTGTTGCTCCTGTCACAATACATTGTACTCACCTGTTATGTATACTGTTGCACCAGCTTGTCCTAGCTATACCTTCACCGATTTCCCTTGTTGCTCCTGTCACAATACATTGTACTTACCTGTTATGTAGACTGTTGCAACAGCATGTCCTAGCTGTAACGTTATACCTTTACCGATCCCCTTTGTTGCTCCTGTTACAATACATTGTACTCACCTGTTATGTATACTGTTGCACCAGCTTGTCCTAGCTGTAATGCTATACCTTTACCGACCCCCCTTGTTGCTCCTGTCACAATACATTGTACTCATCTGTTATGTAGACAGTAGCACCAGCTTGTCCTAGCTGTAACGCTATACCTTTACCGATCCCCCTTGTTGCTCCTGTCACAATACATTGTACTCACCTGTTATGTAGACAGTAGCACCAGCTTGTCCTAGCTGTAATGCTATACCTTTACCGATCCCCCTTGTTGCTCCTGTCACTATACATACTTTACCAGCCATAGATCTAGCCATTACTGTCTACAACAAACAGTCACGTGATGATATTAAGTCGTTCTTTTATCTATATGAAAATCAATCTTATAATAGATTGAAAAAAAATAAAAAGATGTGGTATGATTGCCAATGAGACAACTTTCCATCAGAGACTTAATGACGTAGAAGTTATCAAATATAGTTCTCCGTACAGCCTTCAGCAATGAGCAAAACCCATGCGAAAACTGAGAGAACTGCCTGAGCTCCAAACAATTCAAACGTTAAAACTAACTGCCTAATATGTTTACAAAACAATAAACGAAAACCAAATATGATAAACAGCAACAAATTACAACCACTATATTACAGGCTCCTAACTTGATACAGGCGCTTTAGGTATTGTGAGTTTCGACATTTTCGAAATCCTTTCCCAAAGAAGTTTATAAATGTCTTTTTTACATCTTTAAGAAACAGCATTCAAATAACAAGACATGTTTTTTTTTAAGATGAAGGAGCTTTCACGAGATAGTTATCTGTTAACTTAAAGCTGAATTACTTGTTTTTACTGATTTTCAGTTGATACAATTTTGTAAATGAAGTACAAAGTAAAGATACGGTATGCAACCAATATAAGAACTTTTCTGGGATTAAATCTGTACAAGATCGTGTCTTCCTCTAATATCTTTGACGTTGCTGTATGAAGTATTTTATGAAGTACAGCCAAAGATATGAGTATTGATTTCATACAAACAGGTGAAATACATTTAGCTTGCTTAAGTCATAGCGAGCATTCATGCTTAAGTCATAGCGAGAATTCATGCTTAAGTCATAGCGAGCATTCATGCTTAAGTCATAGCGAGCATTCAGTTGTTTATATTGTTCATTCTATTTGTATTTGACTGAGTGAGTGATATCGCTATTTTAGAGTAAAGGACTTTTCCACTAATTTTGTTCTGTTATACTGTATATACCTTTCCTTAGTTCACTGATAGCGATTTAAAAGTGAGAGGGTAACAATCTTAAAAAAAACTGGCTTAATCCTGTTTCAGGTTAAAAATGCCTATCCTTAGTCGGAAACCTCATTACTTGTTGTCTTTTGTCATATCTTAATTTTTTTTTCATTTTGAGGATTTTGACACTTTTCTAGACTAGGGGCGATTAAGAGCTTAACATATTGTATAGCATCTTATCCATTGTGTGAAGACTAGGGGCAATTTAGAGCTTACCATATTGTATAGCATCTTATCCATTGTGTGAAGACTAGGGGCGATTTAGAACTTAACATATTGTATAGCATCTTATCCATTGTGTGAAGAAAGGGCCGATTTAGAGCTTAACATATTGTATAGCATCTTATCCATTGTGTGAAGACCAGGGCCGATTTAGAGCTTAACATATTGTATAGCATCTTATCCATTGTGTGAAGACTAGGGGCGATTTAGAACTTAATATATTGTAAAGCATCTTATCTATTGTGTGAAGACTAGGGGTGATTTAGAGCTTAACATATTGTATAGCATCTTATCTATTGTGTGAAGACTAGGGGCGATTTAGACCTTAACATATTGTATAGCATCTTATCTATTGTGTGAAGACTAGGGGCGATTTAGAGCTTTACATATTGTATAGCATCTTATCTATTATGTGAAGATTATGTTCGTTTTAGAGTTTAACATATTGTATAGCATCTTATCTATTGTGTCTAGACTAGGGGCGATTTAGAGCTTTACATATTGTATAGCATCTTATCTATTGTGTGAAGACTAGGGGCAATTTAGAGCTTACCATATTGTATAGCATCTTATCTATTGTGTGAAGACTAGGGGCGATTTAGAACTTAATATATTGTATAGCATCTTATCTATTGTGTGAAGACTAGGGGCGATTTAGAGCTTAACATATTGTATAGCATCTTATCTATTGTGTCTAGACAAGGGGCTATTTAGAACTTAACATATTGTATAGCATCTTATCTATTGTGTCTAGACCAGGGGCGATTTAGAGCTCACCATATTGTATAGCATCTTATCTCTTGTGTGAAGACTAGGGCCTATTTAGAGCCTTACATATTGTATAGCAACTTATCTATTGTGTGAAGACCAGGGCCGATTTAGAGCTTAACATATTGTATAGCATCTTATCTATTGTGTGAAGACTAGGGGCGATTTTAAGCTTATCATCTTGTATAGCATCTTATCTATTGTGTGAAGACTAGAGGCAATTTAGAGCCTAACATATTGTACAGCATCTTATCTATTGTGTGAAGACTAGGGGCAATTTAGAGCTTTACATATTGTATAGCATCTTATCTATTTTGTCTAGACTAGGGGCGATTTAGAGCTAACATATTGTATAGCATCTTATCTATTGTGTGAAGACTAGGGGCAATTTAGAGCTTTACATATTGTATAGCATCTTATCTATCGTGTCTAGACTAGGGGCGATTCAGAGCTTAACATATTGTATAGCATCTTATCTATTGTGTAAAGAATAGGGGCGATTTAGAGCTAAACATATTGTATAGCATCTTATCTATTGTGTCTAGACTAGGGGCGTTTAAGAGCTTTACATATTGTATAGCATCTTATCTATTGTGTGAAGACTAGGGGCGATTTAGAGCTTTACATATTGTAACGCATCTTATCTATTGTGTGAAGACTAGGGGCGATTTAGAGATTAACATATTGTATAGCATCTTATCTATTGTGTAAAGACTAGGGGCGATTTAGAGCTTAACATATTGTATAGCATCTTATCTATTGTGTGAAGACTAGGGGCGATTGAGAGCTTAACATATTGTATAGCATCTTATCTATTGTGTGAAGACTAGGACCGATTTAGAGCTTTACATATTGTATAACATCTTATCTACTGTGTGAAGACTAGGGGCGATTTAGAGCTTAACATATTGTATAGCATCTTATCTATTGTGTGAAGACTAGGGGCGATTGAGAGCTTAACATATTGTATAGCATCTTATCTATTGTGTGAAGACTAGGGCCGATTTAGAGCTTACCATATTGTTTAGCATCTTATCTATTGTGTGAAGACTAGGGGCGATTTAGAGCTTAACATATTGTATAGCATCTTATCTATTGTGTGGAGACTAGTGGCGATTTAGAGCTTAACATATTGTATAGCATCTTATCTATTGTGTGAAGACTAGGGGCGATTTAGAGCTTAACATATTGTTTAGCATCTTATCTATTGTGTGAAGACTAGGGCCGATTTAGAGCTTAACATATTGTATAGCATCTTATCTATTGTGTCTAGACTAGGTGCGATTTAGAGCTTTACATACTGTATCGCATCTTATCTATTGTGTGAAGACTAGGGTCGATTTAGAACTTAACATACAGGTATTGTATAGCATCTTATCTATTATGTGAAGACTAGGGGCGATTTAGACCTTAACATATTGTATAGCATCTTATCTATTGTGTGAAGACTAGAGGCAATTTAGAGCTTTACATATTGTATAGCATCTTATCTATTGTGTGAAGACTAGGGGCGATTTAGAGATTTACATATTGTATAGCATCTTATCTAGTGTGTTAAGACTGGGGTCGATTTAGACCTTAACATATTGTGTAGCATCTTATCTATTGTGTGAAGACAATATGATGACCTCTAGATGTCATTTGTTTTTTTTGTTTTGTTGTGTTGCTTTTTCATGGAGAAAAATATGACATTTGTTTGGTATAATTTTTTTTTGAATTGTAGGAAAGATACATAGCAAATAATTTTGAATTTCGGTGAACATCATGCTAATGAGACAAGAATCTTAAAAATCGAACAGCAAGAGAGGTAACTTTGCAGGGGAGGAGCTGAACATCAATTCGTTAATTACCGTCCTACAGACATGGCTGATGCATTATTCGATCGATTTGGAGAGATATATTTAGGACAAATGGAACTGTCCATGTATTTTTCACATCTTAAAATACAGCTTGAGTGTCCTGACTTTCTGTCAGAACATTAATAATCACTAGGTACACCTTAGGACGAAAGGTACAGATGCAAAAAGTAAAAGTTTGTACTGCCCTCGAGCCAAGGTGAGCAAAAGAATTTGTAAATATCAAACCTTTTGTCAAATAACGCCGTGTGTACATTCCAAAATGTATTCGGAGTATAGACAAACCTGTGCAAATGATTTTTTTTACGTTTTTTTTTTATTGAAATGGACACTATACTGATAGAGGGACAATAGCACAATACATGTAGGTCACCTGGTTACTTTGTGATTTAAAAAGTGTAACTGGGCGGAACATATCAAGTGAAATACAGGGTTTATTTATTTTCAAAATAACACATTCTGCAGGGTTGGAAAAAATGGGAATCTCAAAATCCACAATAGTTTAATTTTCTGAAACACAACATGTTTTAACTTTTATACTTTCTGGGTCCAACCTAACTTTTATACTTTCTAGGTCCAACCTAACTTTTATACTTTCTGGGTCCAACCTAACTTTTATACTTTCTGGGTCCAACCTAACTTTTATACTTTCTGGGTCCAACCTAACTTTTATACTTTCTAGGTCCAACCTAACTTTTATACTTTCTAGGTCCAACCTAACTTTTATACTTTCTGGGTCCAACCTAACTTTTATACTCTCTAGGTTCAACCATGCCTTAAAACTTTGTCCAGGTGAACATGTTAAAATGTATGTACTCAAAACATTGAGATGTAATCACGGACATATTTCACAATGCCTTATAATGAACCTTAAACTGTTTTAAAACATTAAGATATAGAAATTGTTATACAGTGTTAACCTAAGTGCTAAAGGAACACCAGTCATTCAAATATTTTGCATCAAGTTGAACTGCTTTTGTTAATTAGAATAGTTGATAAGCGCACTGAAAAAAAATAAGAGGTTCGAAAATCGCGTAATTCGTTTTTAATATTTTGTACATTATAATGACCTTAATTTCTTGCAATAAATGATCGAATAAATGTGTAAAAATAACGTATATAGAAAAGTACACTATAAAGACTATATATATATATACATGTGTGGTAATAAACAACTTACCTGATCAAAGCATTCAAAGGCAATAGATAAATCCGCACGTCCTGAATTTTAACATGTGTCTATTTTTAAATAAACTTTTCTAAATACGAATCAACTGCCGACAGAAATGGATCTATGTATTTTCTAAGCAAAAATTACGCTTTTTTATCTTTTTGTTTGTTCGTTTGATAAGGTTTGTTTGTGAAATGTCACATTATGATGAACAGTGATGAACCTTAAACTGTTTTAAAACATTAAGATATAGAAAATGTTATACAGTGTTAACCTTAGTGCTAAAGGAACACCAGTCATTCAAATATTTTTCATCAAAGTTGAACTGTTTTTGTTAATTAGATTAGTTGATAAGCGCACTGAAAAAAAAGAGGTGCGAAAATCGCGTAATTCGTTTTTAATACTTTGTACATTTTAATGACCTTAATTTCTTGCATTAAATGATCGAATAAATGTGTAAAAATAACGTATATAGAAAAGTACACTATAAAGACTATATATATATATACATGTGTGGTAATAAACAACCTACCTGATCAAAGGTAATAGATAAAGGTAGCACGGTAGTATTTGCATTTCAGAATTTAGGTTGCTCTTTTGTGTACCCTACTTAAGTCAATGTATCTGAACATTATGATTGGACAAAAAATACAATATCAACTGAACATACTTTCCCAAACTTAGGGATGAATCAGGTGTAGAAAAATATGAAATAATTTTACATACAGATGAAAATGAATTTTTGAGAATTTTTTTAAATTTTGTATTCACTGCACGATAAAAGACCTAAAAGCACTAGTGGCCTTAGGTTCTTAAAGATAGCAAAAAAAGTAAACGGTCATGATACATATTCAAATTCATTTCTGAATAGTAAAATGAAAGTACTTCAGTTAACTGTGAATGTAGAATTTTTAGCAGTGTTAGAAAGTGGTGAAAATTCTAAAAAGGCTATCATTATCCCTTATGGGCCAGGAAATACTACCGTGCCACCTTAAGGGGATATACATGTTTACACTAAATCAATGAAGGATTTTTTTTTACCTATGCAATTTGTAAGTTTATCAATAAAAAGTTGATTAAGGGCAACTATGATAAAAACAGCCCTTAAATTCCACCCCTGGGAGTGAAAATTGCTGATTCAGCAAATTTTGCCTGATCTGTGGGTAATAAAGTAAAAATTTACCTAGAAAGTAGAACTTCATTATTTTTATGTAACTTGCAATACATTTTTAATTATAAATGCTCGCTTTAACTTTTCGCAGTGTCTGACACATGTGCAACCACTGGAATTTGAGACGCGACATATTTTATTTGTCTGTACATCCTATTATTTTCACCGAAATAAATAAATTGCATAATTTCTTATTTTTTTCCACACAAGTACAGCTTTACTAGTTTTCTTTAGGTTTAATTTGTAGTTCTGTGGTAACATGACACCAGTATGAGCTTTTTTGGAACCAGCAAGTGGTTAAGGGGTCCTTACTTATTCATTTAGCCCTCATATTTGACTGAAATAGAGATAGCAATAGGGGTTTCTTTACACTGACAAGACATTTTTTTTGACAAAGAATGTAATTATGACTGTTTATCAGCAAGATTAAATAGTTTATTCATTTTCCATGCAAATGTCATTAATTGTTTTGATTTTCTGACAATGAAAAGCACAATAAAGGTAAAATGATTATGTAAGGGGACATAATTTAACTTAATGCATACATGAGAAATAGACAAACAGTCAACTTAGAGATATATTCTAGTACATATATTGTCAAAAAGATTTTAGAATGATAGTTAAATGCCATCTAAAGAATCTTGTTGTGTTGCCTTCATAATCTGGAAATGCTTAAAGTAATGTAAGGCATGCTGTAAAATGTGGAATGGACTTTTAATATCATTTTTCATGATTTGGTGCTTAAACTGTTTCTTTCAGTCAGATTAACTATAAATAGAGTTGGCAATCCAATAATTCCTCCTGAATCACCATGTTTGACTTCTGTGTTGATTTGAAACATCATATATTTTGATTTTGTTCACTCCTTAAGTAAAAATGGTAAGATGATAAAAAAATGAAAATCTGCCAGCTGGGGTAGGGGTGTAATCTTTCATTTTTTTTTGGTAAGAAATAAGTGCAGACTAGTATTCTTTATTGTAATATGTTACATAGTAAGAAGGCTATGCATCATAGGTGTCATGACTGATTTCAAGTTTGAAATGTCTTGGTTAAGGTAGCACGGTAGTATTTGCATTCCAGAATTTAGGTTGCTCTTTTGTGTACCCTACTTAAGTCAATGTATCTGAACATTATGATTGGACAAAAAATACAATATCAACTGAACATACTTTCCCAAACTTAGGGATGAATCAGGTGTAGAAAAATATGAAATAATTTTACATACAGATGAAAATGAATTTTTGAGAATTTTTTTAAATTTTGTATTCACTGCACGATAAAAGACCTAAAAGCACTAGTGGCCTTAGGTTCTTAAAGATAGCAAAAAAAGTAAACGGTCATGATACATATTCAAATTCATTTCTGAATAGTAAAATGAAAGTACTTCAGTTAACTGTGAATGTAGAATTTTTAGCAGTGTTAGAAAGTGGTGAAAATTCTAAAAAGGCTATCATTATCCCTTATGGGCCAGGAAATACTACCGTGCCACCTTAAGGGGATATACATGTTTACACTAAATCAATGAAGGATTTTTTTTTACCTATGCAATTTGTAAGTTTATCAATAAAAAGTTGATTAAGGGCAACTATGATAAAAACAGCCCTTAAATTCCACCCCTGGGAGTGAAAATTGCTGATTCAGCAAATTTTGCCTGATCTGTGGGTAATAAAGTAAAAATTTACCTAGAAAGTAGAACTTCATTATTTTTATGTAACTTGCAATACATTTTTAATTATAAATGCTCGCTTTAACTTTTCGCAGTGTCTGACACATGTGCAACCACTGGAATTTGAGACGCGACATATTTTATTTGTCTGTACATCCTATTATTTTCACCGAAATAAATAAATTGCATAATTTCTTATTTTTTTCCACACAAGTACAGCTTTACTAGTTTTCTTTAGGTTTAATTTGTAGTTCTGTGGTAACATGACACCAGTATGAGCTTTTTTGGAACCAGCAAGTGGTTAAGGGGTCCTTACTTATTCATTTAGCCCTCATATTTGACTGAAATAGAGATAGCAATAGGGGTTTCTTTACACTGACAAGACATTTTTTTTGACAAAGAATGTAATTATGACTGTTTATCAGCAAGATTAAATAGTTTATTCATTTTCCATGCAAATGTCATTAATTGTTTTGATTTTCTGACAATGAAAAGCACAATAAAGGTAAAATGATTATGTAAGGGGACATAATTTAACTTAATGCATACATGAGAAATAGACAAACAGTCAACTTAGAGATATATTCTAGTACATATATTGTCAAAAAGATTTTAGAATGATAGTTAAATGCCATCTAAAGAATCTTGTTGTGTTGCCTTCATAATCTGGAAATGCTTAAAGTAATGTAAGGCATGCTGTAAAATGTGGAATGGACTTTTAATATCATTTTTCATGATTTGGTGCTTAAACTGTTTCTTTCAGTCAGATTAACTATAAATAGAGTTGGCAATCCAATAATTCCTCCTGAATCACCATGTTTGACTTCTGTGTTGATTTGAAACATCATATATTTTGATTTTGTTCACTCCTTAAGTAAAAATGGTAAGATGATAAAAAAATGAAAATCTGCCAGCTGGGGTAGGGGTGTAATCTTTCATTTTTTTTTGGTAAGAAATAAGTGCAGACTAGTATTCTTTATTGTAATATGTTACATAGTAAGAAGGCTATGCATCATAGGTGTCATGACTGATTTCAAGTTTGAAATGTCTTGGTTAAGGTAGCACGGTAGTATTTGCATTCCAGAATTTAGGTTGCTCTTTTGTGTACCCTACTTAAGTCAATGTATCTGAACATTATGATTGGACAAAAAATACAATATCAACTGAACATACTTTCCCAAACTTAGGGATGAATCAGGTGTAGAAAAATATGAAATAATTTTACATACAGATGAAAATGAATTTTTGAGAATTTTTTTAAATTTTGTATTCACTGCACGATAAAAGACCTAAAAGCACTAGTGGCCTTAGGTTCTTAAAGATAGCAAAAAAAGTAAACGGTCATGATACATATTCAAATTCATTTCTGAATAGTAAAATGAAAGTACTTCAGTTAACTGTGAATGTAGAATTTTTAGCAGTGTTAGAAAGTGGTGAAAATTCTAAAAAGGCTATCATTATCCCTTATGGGCCAGGAAATACTACCGTGCCACCTTAAGGGGATATACATGTTTACACTAAATCAATGAAGGATTTTTTTTTACCTATGCAATTTGTAAGTTTATCAATAAAAAGTTGATTAAGGGCAACTATGATAAAAACAGCCCTTAAATTCCACCCCTGGGAGTGAAAATTGCTGATTCAGCAAATTTTGCCTGATCTGTGGGTAATAAAGTAAAAATTTACCTAGAAAGTAGAACTTCATTATTTTTATGTAACTTGCAATACATTTTTAATTATAAATGCTCGCTTTAACTTTTCGCAGTGTCTGACACATGTGCAACCACTGGAATTTGAGACGCGACATATTTTATTTGTCTGTACATCCTATTATTTTCACCGAAATAAATAAATTGCATAATTTCTTATTTTTTTCCACACAAGTACAGCTTTACTAGTTTTCTTTAGGTTTAATTTGTAGTTCTGTGGTAACATGACACCAGTATGAGCTTTTTTGGAACCAGCAAGTGGTTAAGGGGTCCTTACTTATTCATTTAGCCCTCATATTTGACTGAAATAGAGATAGCAATAGGGGTTTCTTTACACTGACAAGACATTTTTTTTGACAAAGAATGTAATTATGACTGTTTATCAGCAAGATTAAATAGTTTATTCATTTTCCATGCAAATGTCATTAATTGTTTTGATTTTCTGACAATGAAAAGCACAATAAAGGTAAAATGATTATGTAAGGGGACATAATTTAACTTAATGCATACATGAGAAATAGACAAACAGTCAACTTAGAGATATATTCTAGTACATATATTGTCAAAAAGATTTTAGAATGATAGTTAAATGCCATCTAAAGAATCTTGTTGTGTTGCCTTCATAATCTGGAAATGCTTAAAGTAATGTAAGGCATGCTGTAAAATGTGGAATGGACTTTTAATATCATTTTTCATGATTTGGTGCTTAAACTGTTTCTTTCAGTCAGATTAACTATAAATAGAGTTGGCAATCCAATAATTCCTCCTGAATCACCATGTTTGACTTCTGTGTTGATTTGAAACATCATATATTTTGATTTTGTTCACTCCTTAAGTAAAAATGGTAAGATGATAAAAAAATGAAAATCTGCCAGCTGGGGTAGGGGTGTAATCTTTCATTTTTTTTTGGTAAGAAATAAGTGCAGACTAGTATTCTTTATTGTAATATGTTACATAGTAAGAAGGCTATGCATCATAGGTGTCATGACTGATTTCAAGTTTGA